GAATCTCCCATAAGCACAGTATCATCAGCAAAAAGTAACTGTATCAACTCCCATTTTGTACTTGATTCCCCATAATTCAATCCCACCCCTCTCCCCAACACCCTAGCATTTACTTCTTTTACAACCCCATCTATAAATATATTAAACAACCATGGTGACATTACACATCCCTGTCTAAGACCCACTTTTACTGGGAAGTAATTTCCCTCTCTCCTACATACCCTAACCTGAGCCTCACTATCCTCATAAAAACTCTTTACAGCATTTAGTAACTTACTACCTATTTCATACACTTGTAAAACAATTACAGGTTTCTGTGTCACATTCACTTGGTAGGACGGCAGTACCCCCTGGCGGTTGCTATCTACCAACCTACTACTTCTTACATACACAGTAGACCCTTGGTTTTTGTAATTAATCCATTCCAGAAGGTTGGCCTAAATCTGAAATGGCCGAAAACTGAAGTAATATTTCCCATAAGAAATAATGTAAATCCACTTAATCCGTTTCCGACACCCAAAAATATTAACAAGAAATAAATTTTATAGAGAATAACTATAGTGATGCAGCTCTTCAGTGGTTAGTACATTCATTACTTACCTTGCAATATTTGTAGTCTTAATGTAGCGAGCTGCTAACCAGACTGAGAGTCATAAACCTAAATGAATTTTTTATGAGAGAGAGAATTAGGTACACACACACCGATAGCTCTAACGACACATATCATAAAAATCTTTGAAGGGTTCTAAGAAGCAAGATCACCACTTATCTAGATACCCATCAGTTACACAACTCAGGACAGCATGGGTTTAGAGCAGGACACTCCTGTCTGTCCCAGCTACTGGACCACTATGACAAGGTCCTGGTTGCTCTAGAAGACGAATAGAATGCAGACGTAATATACACAGATTTTGAAAAAGCCTTTGACAAGTGTGACCATGGTGTAATGGCGCACAAAATGCGTGATAAAGGAATAACAGGAAAAGTTGGTAGATGGATCTATAATTTCCTAACAAATAGAACCCAAAGAGTAGTAGCCAACAGAGTAAAGTATGAGGTGGCTACGATGAAAAGCTTTGTTCTACAAGGCACAGTACTCGCTCCCATCTTGGACATAGACAGGGATATAAGCCACAGCGTCGTGTCTTCCTTTGAAGATGACACCCGAATTTGCATGACAGTGTCCTCCATTGAAGACACTGCAAGACTTCAGGCTGGACCCGTTCTCCTGAAGAGTCACCGTAGGATGAACAAGACGGATCCTTTAGTGGAAGAGGTAGAGCTCCTGCAAGCTAATCCATATTACGCCCACATTCGCTACCAAAATGGTGAAGAGACTACAGTATCTACAAGACATTTAGCCCCAGTTGAAATCCCCATTAGTGTGGAATCTCAAGATACACCAATAGATGTGAAAGATGCTTCGTTTTCTCCTGGAAAGCCCCTTGAGACTACCCCTACGGAAATAGAGGATTCTGCTCCAGCAGTTAGTCAAATCCCGCTGGAAAATATTGAACCTGGTGAAGAGGCTCAAGGGCTACGAAGGTCGGGACGTGTACATCGCCCACCTAACAGTTTGGGAGATTACTGTCTCTGATATTTTAGAAGGGGGAGATTGTAGTGATACTGCTCCTGTGGGGAGCAGCAGCAGGATAATACTGCACCACCTCTCGGGGCCCTTAACAACAACAGCAGCAGCTTGGTGTGTGTCAAGGGCGCCAACGCATGGTGTGTGATTCTCTTCTCTTATATCCATATATTAGTGATGCAGATTGCATGGTGAGTTTAAATATGTGGCCTGTAGTTATAACTTTTCTCTTGGCATATGCAAGACATCACCATCCCTGTAGAAGCAGTTATTAGTTGTACTAGTCATTATATTTTGTTGTTGCAGAAGTACTATGAAGATTCCCTGTTGGTGCACCCCTCTGTCCTGTCTTCCCAGAGTCCTTCCTGTCTCCACTGTGAATACTTCCTTAAATCTCTTGTTGAGCTCCTCACATACCTCTTGATCGCTTCGTGTGAGTTCCCCACCTTTCCTCAGCCTGATCACCTGGTCTTTGACTGTTGTCTTTCTCCTAATGTGGCTATACAGCAGTTTCGGGTCAGACTTGACTTTTGATGCTATGTCGTTTTCATACTGTTGCTGGGCCTCCCTCCTTATCTGTGCATACTCGTTTCTGCCTCTTCGACTGATCTCCTTATTTTCCTGGGTCCTTTGCCTTCTGTACCTCTTCCATTCTCTAATGCACTTAGTTTTTGCCTCCCTACACCTTTGGGTAAACCAAGGAGTCACTTTGGTCTTCCCATTAATTCTTTTGCCCTTGGGAATAAACCTTTCCTCTGCCTCCTTGCATTTTGTTGTTACATATTCCCTCATTTCATTCACTGACTTTCCTACCAGCTCTCTGGCTCACTGAACCTCCCACAGGAAGTTCCTCATATAGTTTGGCTTTTCCCAATCGACTCCTGTTACTCTCTCCACTTGCAGCTCTACTATGTAATCAAAACTCAGAACCACGTGATCGCTAGCTCCAAGGGGCCTCTCATATGTGATGTCCCCAATGTCTGAACTGCTCAGGGTGAAAACAAGGTCTTGCTGGTTCATCCTCCCCTCTCTCTGGTAGTGTCCCTGACATGTTGATGCATGAGGTTTTCCAGTACCACACCCATCATCTTGGCTCTCCATGTGTCAGGAGCCCCGTGAGGTTTTCCCAGTCGATCTCCCTATGGTTGAAATCACTCATAACCAGTAACTTTGCTCTGCACGATTGAGCTTTTCATGCCACCTCAGCCAATGTGTTCACCATCACTCTGTTGTTCTCTTTGTATTCCTCTCTTGGCCTCCTGCAGTTCTGTGGTGGGTTATACATCACTGCAATGAGTACCTTATGCTCCCCAGACTGAATTGTAGCTACTATGTAGTCACTTTCTCCAATCTCACCCATGTCTTCCGTTTCCTCAAAACCCCATCGGTTTTTCATGAGTAGTGCAACCCTTCCTCCCCCTCTGCTCCTTCTGTCTTTCCTCAGGATCAGATATCCCAGTGGGAAGACTGCATCTGTTATTGTCTCAGTGAGTTTCGTTTCTGTGACTGCAATGATGTCTGGGGACTTCATTGATTGTTTCATGCCACTCACATTTATTTGATAATCCATGTGCGTTCGTGTACTACACCTTCAACTTATCTATCATGGTGGTCCTGGGAAAATATTGGGGTTGGGGGAGTGGGAGACCTGGAGGGGGCCTATGGGAGTTTGCAGTGTGGGTGGGGTTTGTGATGGGAGGTTGAGGGCAGAGTGCCCATGTGGAGCCACTGTAGGGGTGGGGTTTGTGATTTGTGATTCGTGATTTGTGATTTGTGATGTGTGTGTGTGTGTGTGTGTGTGTGTGTGTGTGTGTGTGTGTATACTCACCTATTTGTACTCACCTATTTGTGGTTGCAGGGGTTGAGTCATAGCTCCTGGCCCTGCCTCTTCACTGATTGCTACTAGGTCCTCTCTCTCCCTGCTCCATGAGCTTTATCATACCTCGCCTTAAAACTATGTATGGTTCCCGCCTCCACTACTTCACTTTCTAGGCTATTCCATGGCTTGACTACTCTATGACTGAAGAAATACTTCCTAACATACCTTTGATTCATCCGAGTCTTCAACTTCCAATTGTGACCTTTTTTCTTTCCAACGCGAATCCCTGATAAACAACTTATCGTCAATTGTGACCTCTTGTGTCTGTGTCCCATCTCTGGAACATCCCGTCTTTGTGTGTGTGTGTGTGTGTGTGTGTGTGTGTGTGTGTGTGTGTGTGTGTCTGTGTGTGTGTCTGTGTGTGTGTCTGTGTGTACTCACCTAATTGTGGTTGCAGGGGTCAAGACTCAGCACCTGGCCCCTTCACTTCACTGATCGCTACTAGGTCCTCTCTCTGCTTCCTGAGATTTGTCATACCTCGTCTTAAAGCTATGTATGGTTCCTGCCTCCACTACATCACTTACTAGGCTATTCCACTTCCTGACGACTCTATGACTGAAGAAATACTTCCTAACATCCCTGTGACTTGTCTGAGTCTTCAGCTTCCAATTGTGACTCCTTGCCTCTGTGTCCCCTCTCTGGAACATCTTGTCCCTGTCCACCTTATCTATTCCCCGCAGTATCTTGTATGTCGTTATCATGTCTCCCCTGACCCTTCTGTCCTCCAATGTCGTCAGTCCGATTTCCCTCGACCTTTCATCGTAGGACATTTCCCTGAGCTCTGGAACTAGCCTTGTTGCAAACCTTTGTACTTTCTCTAACTTCTTGACATGCTTGACCAGGTGTAGGTTCCAAACTGGTGCTGCATACTCCAGTATGGGCCTAACGTACACAGTGTACAGTGTCTTGAACAATTCCTTATTAAGGCATCGGAACGCTATTCTCAGGTTTGCCAGACGCCCATATACTGCAACTGTTATCTGAGTGATGTGTGCCTCCGGAGACGTGCTCAGTGTTATGATCACCCCAAGTGTGTGTGTGTGTGTGTGTTTTTAACACATCTGTTTCCCACCAAGGCAGGATGACCTAAAATGATAAAAAAAACCAAAAAGAAAGAAAAATACCTTCATCATCATTCAACACTTTCACCATCACTTACATAATCACTGTCTTTGCAGAGGTGCTCAGTTACAACAGTTTAGATAGTCACTCCAAACTGCCAATATCCCAAACCCCTCCTTTAAAGTGCAGGCATTGTGCTTCCTCAAGTCTGGCTAACTGGTTTCCCTGAATCCCTTCACAAAATATTACCCTACTCCAGCAGCTCGTCAGGTCCCAAAAACCATTCGTCTCCATTCACTCCTATCTAACATGCTCATGCACACTTGCTGGAAGTCCAAGCCCCTTGCCCACAAAACCTCCTTTACCTCCCCTCCCTCTAGTCTTTTCGCAGACAACCCCTACCTCGCCTTCCTTCTCCTACTGATTAATATATATTATTTATACAGATTTATGTATATTATATTTCAACAGGTATGAGTGCATTAGAAGGAAAAGATGATTGGCTAGAAGAATGGAGGAAAAAGATCATCCCTACATTTGTGGTGAGTCTTGCCTGATGTGTTCCCTGTAAGTCTTGTAAGTGCAAAACAGTTAGCAAGTACTTCAGGTGGCACATTTATATTCTAGATGTTTTTGCCAGGAAACCACTTTTAATTTTATTCAATATAATTTTTTATAAGATTCATAAAAATTCTTTAATTAATGTGCATACATCAGGACACTTAGGTTTAATATTTGCACACAAGGCCATCCAGGAAGGAAGGCTTCTAAAACAACAAGGTATCAAAAGTTTAAACAGCTTTCAAGTTTTTAAAATTGGTTTATTTGTTATGAACCACTGTTGGCAGAGAAGTCTTTATTGACATATCATTTCACCACAAATTGGTTTAATAAGTAAATAATAAACATACAGCCTCTCACTTAACAATGGGGTTCTGTTCCTGAGAGTAGGTCGGTAAGCGAATTGGTCGTTAAGCGAGGAGCATACTATACTGTTAGTGGGTTTTTCAACCATCTTTAGATATTTTTTTAATGTTGTCTTTGCACCATTTATAACATTTCTAGTATATTTTTAATTGTTTATACAATAGTGTACTGTATACTGTAATAAAACAGAATAGAGGAAATCAGCTCTAATATACATTACGTACTTAGGTTTGCATACTATTTGAAGAGCTAGTCATAAGTCCGAGTGGTTGGTAAATGAATACGTTGCTAAGTGAGGAGAGGCTGTATTTATTTACCAAGATAATTCATTGTGTGAGAAATTGAATGATTAAAGTTTTTCAACATAGTAAAGTCAGTAGTTATGCAAAATATTTCAGGTAGACTCAAGATTGAACATGCCTTAAAATAACAGAGATTAGTTAAGGTTACCTTATGTAACTGCACAGTGTTCTATATTTAATGTGTGAAGATAAGATAATAAGTACAAAGATAATTTAAGCAAGAATACTAATTATTAAACAGCAATGTTAGATTGTATACTTACAGTATAACATAATTAAGGTGCATGTAGATTAGATAATTCAGTACAGTGATCCCACTAATTAATAAAACTTATTTCAACTGCTAAGTAAAAATAAAAGAATAGTAGCATTAAAAAAATTGAGCTTAGATCACTTGTGGAGATGGGTTTATCAGTATGAATGCTGGATGGAAACTTGATAAGCAGGTTACAATAATTAAGTTAGACATTTACATCAAATATCATAAATCATATAAAGTTCACGAGGTGTCTTTTGTTTTTTTTTTTTAAGATTTTGTAAGGTAGTGAACTTTAAGAATCTTCTGGTAGTGTCCCAAATCTGGGGCCTCTTTTGAGTTCTGAGTTTCTACTCAAGTTGAGTCCAGCATATGAGACATTGAAGAAGTATTTATTTCTTGTATTATGCTTATGAACTTTATTGCATCTCTCAAAGATACAACAGAAAAATTGCATCTTATATAGTACTGTATATCCAGTCTAGGTAGTCAGGTGCATAGTGGATAAGGCCCAAGAAGTGCAAATCACAGTGCTTATTTCTAGCACTGTGACACCCATTCCTATCTCATGGAGTGAAATAAACGCCTTAATGATTTGAATCCTCTCCCATTAAACTTACACAGACAAAAGAGCGGTATCAATAAACAAAAGGATGGATTCAAACTGGGCCTACAACCTTTATGGGCCACTGTTCAAGTCCCTGTCTATTGTCCTATTTATTCACTGACAGCTGTTCATTACAACTTATCATGGGTTTATAAAGTAGTATGTTTACATACACCCATAGCTCACATTGTATTAGAACAAAGAAGCATTGGCCAGTAGGTCTGTTGCAGAGCTCACTTGCTTCTTGAGCCTCGCCCACTCAGCACCTGACTTCTTGGAACTCACCCATTCAGCATGTGAATATCTGGATGTACTTTATAATATGTAACATTATGTTGTATTTTATATACCTGATAAAGCCAATTTGTGATAAAATAATGCACCATTAAAGACTTATCTGTAATCAGTGTCTTACCATACTGTTGGCACATTGCCATTCCTCTATAATGAGTAAAATCAGTTATCCTCATTCTTAATTTATTCAATTATATTAAACTTGATGCCATAATTTGTTTATTGCAGACAGCTAGTGTATTCTGGGTTCCAGTATCACTGATCAACTTCAGATTCCTTCCCCCTCAAGCACGTGTAGTGTTTGTTGGAACATGCCAAGTCATCTGGGTGTCAATACTCTGTTGGTTCAAGAGGCAAAAATACTGAACTCATTCAAGTGTCAAGTATAGTACAAGACATTCTTTTTCTAGGAGGGATGAGTAGTTATGAAAGTTCAGAGTTGCTTATGGCATGAAACTCACTTTCCCACTATTTTGTTTTGTAATTTAGAAGTATTACCCCTTGGATATCACTTTTGTGGGTGAATGTATAGTTTTGTTTACAGTATCACAACTAGGATGTTTTTTATTCCTCAGGCTTATAGAGTACTGCTAGTCAATTTCAGTGCATTGTTGATTCTAGTATGAAGTTTAAGTGAATAATGAAGCATTTTTAACTTAAATTTTTTTAAACACTGATCATCTCTCACCAAGGTGGGTGCATAATAAATATTTACTGCTGCTCAGGGAACTGAATGCGATATATATTTAAAATTCTAGCTGGCTTAAATTTTATTAGCAATAAACCTCTTGGTTTTGTGCTAAATTTATATCTGGTACATCTTTGCATGGTTTGTTACCAATAAAGGAGGTTGCTTAGTAACCTTGTAGTGAACATTGTGAGAGAATGATGTTTTGCAGATAAAACTAGTAATATTGTCAGTAATGCTTGAGGTAGCAGCCAGAGTAATACAGTACTAACCACAGTGATATGGTACTGGTCACACTTGTCATAAAGATAGTATATATATACTAACCTGTAAATAAAGTACAAGTATATATAAAAGGAGTAGAAGCATGTCTTGACTCTGTGGGAAATGCTTGCCATGACAGTATACCTTACTAAGTAAGAAACATTGCTGCTTATACCAAGCAGCAGTGAAAGTGATATCAGTGGTGATCATATGTACAGCATTTGTTATAGTCTGACCAAGACTACAAAGATAATTGTGTGTAAAATGAACAGAAACATGCCAGAGCCCTCCCTGTGTTCATTATTTTTTGATAGAAGTGTTTATACTAACCTGTTGCAAATGTTAATCATGGCATATGAACATGTTGGAAACTAATCAGATAAAATAGCATATAACAACATACTGGAAATGTTAATCACATAGCTTACACATATATATTAGAATGTTGCAAATGTGATTAACTTTGCAACACATTATTGTAATTTCACAGCAATGAAACTTTAGTTTCAATGTTGCCTTTGTTCAGGGAGCAGCACACACTGAAACACATGTAACATGATAATCAACTTAAAACTATATTTAGTGTAAATAGTTTATTGCTTCTCTAGGAAAAAAGTGACTATTATTTTTAGGATAAGTTAAGTACAGTTGAGCACCTCGAGCAAAAATTTATTATCCGACATCATTCTCTAGTGCAAATGGGTAGCCCTTTTATATTTTGGAATTCTGTCTTTAAAATAAAAGTTAGGGCATAAAATGAAAATATGGAGAAGCATCTGGAAGAGTGGTTGGAAATTTGTGAACTTATTACATAATGTGTCTTCTCAGGATGGCATATCTACATCTATTTTTCATGCTGATGGATCAGGTGAGTGTGACAAAGAAAATATATGAAAGGGCCTGCCAGCACCAGTATTCTGAAGGCAATCAGCTCAGATGGATAGACCCTAGTGTGATGGTTAGTTATATGTACACTACTAAATTTTACACTATGAAATAAAAAAATGCAGTTCAGTTTCAACTACAGAATATGGAACTACACCTTGTATTACTGGACAGGTAAACACCATCAGAAAGCCTGTACTATATGGACACCAGCAGCACCTTGTCCCCCATGGCATGTTCCAGAACACACTTGTCCAAGAGCAAATTCTTGGAGCACAGGTCTCAACACTTATGTCCCAGAGCAAGGTATCAGCACTTACCATATTTTAGTGTCAAAGATGCTATTTTTTTTTCCCCAAATAAGTCTTGAAAATTTACCCAGTGTCTTGGAAGCCGAAGGTTACATAAGAAGGAGCACTACAGCAGGCCTATTGACTCTGCTAGGCAGGTCTAGGCCACACCTGCATTGTTCAGAGGCCTCAACCTAAGCCTAGAGGAGTTTTTCGATACTAAATTGTAATCTAAGCTCCTGTATATGAACCAACTATTTTGTGTAAAATAATGAATAAATAAAAATAATCGTAAAGGTATGGCCACCCCACCCACACATAATATATACATTAAAAGCGCCCTAGAGCAATAGAATGCATATACAGTACACTCATTACTTGCCTTAAAATGTGTGTTTACCTGGAGAGAGTTCCGGGGGTCAGCGACCCCCGGCCTGGTCTGTGACGAGGCCACCTGGTGGATCAGAGCCTGATCAACCAGGCTGTTAATGCTGGCTGCACGCAATCCAACGTACGAGCCACAGCCCGGCTGGTCAGGTACCGACTTTTGGTGCTTGTCCAGTGCCTGCTTGAAGACAGCCAGGGGTCTATTGGTAATCCCCCTTATGCATGCTGGGAGGCAGTTGAACAGTCTCGGGCCCCTGACACTTATTGTATTGTCTCTTAACGTGCTAGTGACACCCCTGCTTTTCATTGGGGGGGACGTTACATCATCTACCGAGTCTTTTGCTTTCGTTGTTAGTGATTTTCGTGTGCAAGTTTGGATTTTCCAGGTGTATACTATAATCATGTATCTCTCCCGCCTGCGTTCCAGGGAGTACAGGTTCAGGAACTTCAAGTGCTCCCAGTAATTAAGGTGTTTTATCTCTGTTATGCGTGCCGTGAAGGTTCTCTGTACATTTTCTAGGTCAGCAATTCCGCCTGCCTTGAAAGGTGCTGTTAGTGTGCAGCAATATTCCAGCCTAGATAGAACAAGTGACCTGAAGAGTGTCATCATGGGCTTGGCATCTCTAGTTTTGAAGGTTCTCATTATCCATCCTGTCATTTTTCTAGCAGATGCGATTGATACTATGTTATGGTCCTTGAAGGTGAGATCCTCTGACATGATCACTCCCAGGTCTCTGATGTTGGTTTTTTGCTCTGTTTTGTGGAAGGAGTTTGTTTTGTACTCTGATGAAGCTTTAATTTCCTCATGTTTACCATATCGGAGTACGTAATTGAAATTTCTCATCGTTGAACTTCATGTTGTTTTCTGTAGCCCACTGAAAGATTTGGTTGATGCCTGTCTGGAGCCTTGCAGTGCCTGCAATGGAAGACACTGTCATGCAGATTTGGGTGTCATCTGCAAAGGAAGACATGGTGCTGTGGCTGACATCCTTGTCTATGTCAGATATGAGGATGAGAAACAAGATGGGAGCGAGTACTGTGCCTTGTGGAACAGAGCTTTTCACCGTAGCCACCTCAGACTTTATTCTTTTGACTACTACTCTTTGTGTTCTGTTTGTGAGGAAATTATAGATCCATCTACCAACTTTTCCTGTTATTCCTTTAGCACACATTTTCTGCGCTATTACACCATGGTCACACTTGTCGAAGGCTTTTGCAAAGTCTGTATATATTACATCTGCATTCTTTTTGTCTTCTAGTGCATCATGTCTTAATGTAGGGTGAGAGGAGAGTAGTATTTATTTGTAGGAAGTCAGTTGTAGGTAGCTGGTAGGAACAGTGGAAGTCCCTTGATTTCTACCCCCTGTAATGTAGGCAAGAAGATATACGATAATATACACCTGGAAAAATCCTAGAGGGACTAGTCCCAAATCTGCACACGAAAATCACTCCTTACAAAAACAAAAGACTAGGCAGGAGATGCAGCATCCCCCCAATGAAAAGCCAAGAGTATGCTAAGAGACAACACAGTAAGTGTCAGGGGCCCAAAACTGTTCATCTGCCTCCAAGCATACATAAGGAGGATTACAAATAGACAAATAGACCCTAGCTGTCTTCAAGACGGCACTGGACAGACACCTAAAGTTAGTACGTACCTGATCAGCCAGGCTGTGGCTTGTATGTCAGTTTATTTATGACCAGGAATAATAGTCTGATTGATCAGGCCCTGAGCCACCATGAGGCCTGGTCAGACTGGGCTGCAGGGGCTTTTACCCCCGAAAACACCCTCCAGGCATACTCCAAGTATGTGGGGGGGGGGGCATCCTTGATACCGAAGCATCTTGTTCACCATAAAATACGGTACATCCCAGAGCCTAGGTCTCAGCACACGCATCCCAGAGCCCAGGTCTCAGCGCACACATCCCAGAGCCCAGGTCTCAGCACACATCCCAGAGCCCAGGTCTCAGCACACACATCCCAGAGCCCAGGTCTCAGCATGCATCCCAGAGCCCAGGTCTCAGCACACACATCACAGACCCCAGGTCTCAGCACACGCATCCCAGATTATTATTATTATAATCAGAGAAAGCACTAAACCGACAAGGGTCATACAGTGCTGCAGAGCAGTGTGTAGTGTGGAGGTTATAATCAGGTAAGTGGAGAGGGGATCAGAGGTGAGGGAAGAAAAGGGATGGAAGAGACGCTAAGTGCTGTGTCAGAGTTTGTATAATAAGGCAGTTGCTGACACATACCAGAGCTCAGGTCTCAGGACATATGTTGTAACACATAAGTGAGCCAGCTTCAAGTAAAGAACATTGCTTATGAGCACAGATTTATCACATTTTTGCAATTATGAGGAACAGTATAGTATCGCCTTTTTTTTTTTTTTTTTTTTTAACAAATGAGGTATTTACAAAAATATTGCGCTGTATAGCCCTTGTGGCTTAGTGCTTCTTTTTTATTATAATAATAATAACAATAATACAAAAATATTATATCCAGCAAATTTATATTATATTAGTTGCATGGTTAATATATAGGTAATATATTACCTCCGAAACACTGGTGGCATTTCTAAAGCAGACATTACTAGTGTGATGTGGTTTGGTAGACAGGTATGGAGCAGAGTCGTAGAATTTTTGATATTGTACATCATATACTGTAATTAAAATACAGTAGTGTCTGATGTGAAAAGGTCTGACATTGACACTTTTTAACTGAAGATGTTTTACTTTATTATAAAAAATATTTTAATGTTATGCAAGATTTTGTCAGCCTGCATGACTACACTTCAGACCACAAGATCACCACCTCATAAAATGATAAATGTATTGTACTAAAATACTTCAGTGTTTATAGAATTAAATACCTTATGTTTTATATTTTTATCAATGAAAATGCACATCCTAGTTTTAATCTTCAAACAACTGTGTTTTCCCTAACTGCCATTTTTTAAATAAAGTTTAATATTTATAGACATTTACTACTGTCACTTCAGCTTCCTCTGCAGTTTGAAAAAAAAAAAGCATAGAAAATGAGTGGTAAGTATTCTGGACACATCGGCCATCCCCACCATGGTAGGGTGGCCTGAAAAAGAAAAACTTTCATCATCATCATTCACTCCGTCACTGTCATGCCAGAGGTGCACTTACACTATTTATAAAACTGCAACATTAACGCCCCTACTTCAGAGTGCAGACACTGTACTTCCCATCTCCAGGACTCAAGTCCGTCCTGGTTTCCCCGAATTGAATCCCTTCATAAATGTTACCTTGCTCACACTCCAAAAGCACGTCAAGTCCTAAAAACCATTTGTCTCCATTCAAAATTATCATCATCATCATCATCATCATCGTATTAGTATGCTTTAGCACTTACATCCGTCAGCCCTCATAGCCCTCTTTTTAATCTTGTTTAGTCGTAGAGGGCTCTTCTCCATCTGTTGAGAACTGCCTTTCTGATTTTTCATAAACCAGGTACTTTGGGCCATGATGCCTCTCATTATTGTCCCATTGCAGTTTGCAAGTTGATAGAACACTTAGTAGATTTTTAAAACTTTTTGTCAGCCATTTCAGTGTTCCTGTTAATAATTTGCTTTCCCCAGACTTTGTTCAAGCTGAGGGTGTCCCTCAAGGATCTTTTTTTTAAGCACCACTATTTCTACTAGCTCTAAATTATCTGGCTTCTGTTCTCCCATCTAAATTTGGTCATCACTATGTTGTTGACCTTGCTATAGCTTGTGCAGGTGCCAACTGTCACCTAGTAGCAGCCTTACTCCAGAATGCTGTCAACTGTTTTTCCCATCAGCTACTAAAGGGTTGAAATTTTCTGGTGCTAAAATACCAGATGTTCTGCTGTCTGATACTTCATTGCACCTGTATGGTTCCCATATCCCTGAACGTGATATTGTCAGATTTCTAGGCCTTCTGTTTGATAGCAGGCTGTCCTGGAAACCTCACATTGCCTTCCTGAAAGCAACTTTCCACAGCCGGCTAAACTCATCTTTTTGGGGTAGGGTGGGGGGAGGGGGGTTGACACACACTTCATCTTCATTCTGCCCTAATCCTGTTGAAACTAGACTATGGCGACCAGGTATATTTAGTGGTTTCTCCCGCAGTTCTTTTTAAACTTGATCCCATTCATCATCAGGGATTACTCGTGTCTAAGTGCTTTTCACTGTTGAGAGAGTATATGCAAAGGCTAATGTCCCATCTTTGCATAATTGGAGTGCTGTCCATTGTCTCCATTATTTTGTCCGCTCATGACTTTCACAATCCTTCTACATACAGGATAGTAACAGATGTTAGTAGTAGTCCATTATTTGATCGTCACCATTGTTTACTTCACCCCTTTTCTCTTTGTATTCACTCTTGGCTTCTTTTCTCGTCTTTGGGAGGTTTCGACAGTTCGTCATCTTCCCTACTGTCATGCACAAAAGCTCAAACACCTACATTTAATTCACTCCCTTTTTCTTAATCACTTCTGATATTATTCTCATGCCATCGCAGTTTACGCTGATGGTTCAAAATCCTTTGACAGTGTCGAGTTTGCAGCAGTGTTTGCTGATAGTGTTGTGCATGGTCATTTATTAGACCAAGCTAGCATTTGTACAGCTAAACTGTTTGCAGTTCACATTATGATTGTCCATATTGCATCCAGGCATGGCTAAACATTTGTAGTATCACACTAGTGCTTTGCAGGCTATCAGAAAATTTAATTTGCCTAATCCCGTAGTTCTTCGTATCCAACTTTGGTTGTGCTGCAATTCTAGCAGAAATGGAGAAATTGTTTTGTGCAGGGTCCTTGGTCATGTAGATGTTCAGGGCAATGAGCAGGCAGACTCGGCTCTGTGGTCAGCTGTACTTTACCTTTGCACTGCATATAGCGGGTATTCTATTCTCGGACTATTTTGCTGTAATCTCTAGCTACTTTCACAACTGTTGGCAACATTGTTCCCCTCAAGGAAGGTTCCTTGATGTTGGTGAGGGGCTCTTGATTTAGGGAATTAGATCTGTGCTCCAGTTCCCCGAATTAAGCCTGAATGCCTTCCACATCCCCCCCCCCCAGGCGCTGTATAATCCTCCGGGTTTAGTGCTTCCCCCTTGATTATAATAATAATATAATCTGGATATTTACTAAATACAGTATCTTTCAACAGCCATGGGACAGCAGCAATACAACTTATCAGATAATCTTATTAGCTTTTATAAAAAATAATACTGTTATATCTGTGCCTCTGGCGAGACAGTGATAGTGTGAATGATGGTGAAAGTGTTTCTTTTACAGGTCACTGCCTGTGTATTTAAAAAAAAATTGTGAAATAAAAATGCTTGGATATTTAGTTTGAATATTTATATAGCATAATGTACAGTAGTGTAATAGAAACACAATAGTGCTTATTGGTAAAATAAGAAAAGTATACACAAAATACAGTACAGTACATACAGAATAATACTTGGCCAAGATGATATAACAGTTAAATTAATACATCAGAAAACCCATCAATAAAATAAAGCACGATCAGATATTCCTCTAAATATTTTTAAACATGGAACAAATTCCAATTTATATACCAATAAAAAATGAGAGGTTAGAAATGAGTGAAGAATTCTTGAGAGATTTGTATCATTAGAACAATAGTATTTTCATAATAATTTAGGTTCATGACATTGTTACTACTGAAATAATAAATTTTATGTACTGTGCAAGCTCTAAATGCTGCAGCTTAAATTTAGCAAACTTAATTGTGGGTAGATGCGACTCCAGTGAAAAACCATCTTTATTACTCAATTTACCTTGATTCATAAAGTGAGCCGCTTATGAGATATAGAATTAATTGTACTTGTCAGTAACTGACTTCTCACCCACAAATGTGTGCCCCTATTTCCTATTACAGTGTTATGAATCTGCTTACCTACATTTCACATGCAGTTTTATCTACTTTAAAAATAGACTTCATTATGGTAAGTGTCTATTCACCAAAATGGCATTTAACAGTTTCACTTGTCATAGCTAAACTATCTTCCTCAGCAAATTTTTTTACATTGTGAAGAATTAAAATGAGTTGAAAGGTTTGGTGAAAAACTATCATTCACTCCAGTAAGGGCAACTCCTTAGAGAAACATGATGTAAAGGCTTATGCTTACAGTAACGTTATATATCATTGCTACACTTCTAATATACACTGGCCTTTAATGACCTTGTATAGGTTCGAGTAAACCTTATTTACAAGGATTACAATGAGCCCTGTATGGGGAATAAAAAAAAAAAAAAAAAATGGCACAATACAGTGACTGGAACAATAAGTTTGTCCCTTATGTGCAGGTTATTGATGTATAGCCCTGTATGGCTATGCCACCTTTTATCTTAGTGATTTTTGCCTTTACAGAAAAACCTCTCATTAATGGATTTCATCCATTTTGTACATACACACACACACAAAAAAAAAACTGGCCAAACAAATGCTTTAATTATTGGACAAAATAGAAAAGTACACAATTCTGGATTTTGTCAGTTAACATGTTTTATTAATGATAAAGATTTTATCTTAATTTTTTCACCAAATGTATTCATACTTTGTGTGTGTGCCTTGTATAAAGAGCTTACATTTATTCTGCAAAGATTGTTGAAGAACTAGATTTATTATTTACAGTGTGTTAGTGGTTGTCAGGCAGGAGGGGGAGGGGATGGATAACCACCAGCCAATGAAAGAGGCTTCAGCCCTAGCAGATGAAGAAAAATGTGGCAAGTGTTGGCTCCCTCCTTGCATGTATAAAGAGCTCAGTTTTTTTCTTTCTTTTTATTGTTGAGGATCTGTACTGTAGATTTATTAATTATACTAGGTTGATAGGCTGCCTGGAAGGTTGGGTGGTGGGGTATTCTGATAAGGCAGGGATGTGGGCCCCAATGGAAATAAGTCACACTGACTTTTTTGGGTTATCCTAGGTACTTTACACATATGCTATGTATGATAATCTATATAACTATTTGTGTATACCTGAATAAACTTACTGTGGGTGGATGAGGGAGCCCAGGAGATACGTTTCTGTTCAAGACATCCAGTTATTCATCTGCCTCCTCCCCCCACACACAATATACACACACACACACATACACACAGTAGGACCCCGCTTTACAGCGTTCCGCTAATCCGAAGATTTCAAATTGACCAAAATTTGCTATACGGTGAGCAGTCTTTCAAATACAGCATATCCCACCTGGTTTGTTTACAATCACCATGAACACATCTCTTATGTCTGGAAAATTTCCAAAATTTCAAGTGTTTTAAAGTTATTGCATATTTTATATGTACAGTGGACCCCCGGTTAACGATATTTTTTCACTCCAGAAGTATGTTCAGGTGCCAGTACTGACCGAATTTGTTCCCATAAGAAATATTGTGAACTAGATTAGTCCATTTCAGACCCCCAAACATACACGTACAAACGCACTTACATAAATACACTTACATAATTGGTCGCATTCGGAGGTAATCGTTATGCGGGGGTCCACTGTACTCTGATAATTATACAGTGGACCCCCGCTTAACGATCACCTCCAAATGCGACCAATTATGTAAGTGTATTTATGTAAGTGTGTTTGTACGTGTATGTTTGGGGGTCTGAAATGGACTAATCTACTTCACAATATTCCGTATGGGAAAAAATTCGGTCAGTACTGGCACCTGAACATACTACTGGAATGAAAAAAGTTCGTTAACCGGGGGTCCACTGTATGTACTTATGTGTACCTGTACCTAGGTAGTAGGTTGGTAGACAGCAACCGCCCAGGGAGGTACTACTGTCCTGCAAGTGAGTGTAAAACGGAAGCCTGTAATTGTTTTACATGATGGTAGGATTGTTGGTGTCCTTTTTTCTGTCTCATAAACATGCAAGATTTCAGGTACGTTTTGCTACTTCTACTTAGGTCACACTACACATACATGTACAAGCATATATATACTTACATACCCCTCTGGGTTTTCTTCTATTTTCTTTCTAGTTCTTGTTTATTTCCTCTTATCTCCATGGGGAAGTGGAACAGAATTCTTCCTCCGTAAGCCAAGCGTGTCGTAAGAGGCGACTAAAATGCCAGGAGCAAGGGGGCTAGTAACCCCTTCTCCTGTATATATTACTAAATGTAAAAGGAGAAACTTTCGTTTTTCCTTTTGGGCCACCCCTCCTCGGTGGGATACGGCCGGTGTGTTGAAAGAAAAAAGATGTGTACCTGTACCTAAATATATTTACACACTGTGTTGGCATGCAGGTACACATTAAAATTTCTAAGTCTTTTTACTCAACGCCATATCTCTTGGGTGCATTAAATGTCGTATATTATGTCAATATAGACATTTCCATTAATCCATGTATAGTATTTTTTCAAAATTATATAATAAAAACGCTACGTAACATATCAACGTGATACATAAACCCACAGTATAAAAACTAACATAACTATGAGATTTGTTTACCAAGCGTTTGGTAGGAGAGTCGAAGAATTAAGTTTTCTCAAGTCAAACACCAGTAACTTAACTAGAAATTTATTCCTTTCATATTCCTTCACTATCTACAGCTATTCACAACCCTTGTGGTTCTCTACACTTTTTTTTTTTTTCAACAAGTCGGCCGTCTCCCACCGAGGCAGGGTGACCCAAAAAAGAAAGATAATTTATGTAACTGTATTTGTGTATACCTGAATAAACTAACTAACTTACGATTATAACAACTTGTAGTAATAATTTTTAATAATATTTTGTCAGAGCATCATTCCTTCAAAAATTACATGAGAATGGAAGCATTGGTCTTTATTTATTCTTCTGTATCAATGTGGAGACAACTTGTACACAATGTAAAGTGTTTGTATATTATGGTACAATACAAACATGTATGAATGAACACCAGACATGCTTGCCTGGTGTGGGTGGGGTGGGCTGCCTTGGCTGGCAACCTGACTTCCTACAAATAAAACTAACCTCTCGTCCTACATTAAGACTACAAATATTTTAATATAAGTAATGGGTGTACTGTGTGTGTACTATACTTTTTATTGTTTTTAATGCCTAATTCTACTGCTAACTTAACCCTTTCAGGGTCCGTCCCGTAGATCTATGGCTTTACATTCAGGATCCAAACCATAGATCTACGCCATGAGGTCAGCTCACTCTGATAGGCTGTGAGAGGTAAATTTGGGCCTAGATATGAGAGAATACATCTATGTGGTATGTGTGCACCACATAAAATAAATCCTGCAGCACACAGTGTATAATGAGAGGAAAAAACTGAGACCATGATTTTTTATTCAAACAGCGACTTTGCAGTGTTTTTTCGTATGTTATAGTTGTATTTGCGATTTCTTGGTCTTGTTTGATACAATGGAAGACATATTACAGAAATAGAGATGATTCTGATTGGTTTTAACACTAGAAATGGCTTGAAACTGAGCTCAAATTAGCAGAAATGTTAAATTTTTGCCAATGTTCAAGAGTAAGCAAACGACCTCACACGTCTAATACACACCAGCTGGTGGATCTAATATACATTCACAAATGTGGTGATGATATTTATACAGTTATTACCATATTGCATAACAGTAAATCTTCTATTTTTTGGTTTGAATAAAAATTCATTATGTGAATAAAAAATCAAAATGGAATTCATTTGTAAAGCCTCAAAACGTGACTAATGAACAGAGGAAATGTTAGTTTAGTGCCAGGAATACCTACATTGTTTATTCTGGACCCTATTTTGAAATTGGAATATTTTGAACTTTGTGTTAAATTGGCCAAATTACCAATCACTTTATTTTGTAGTTGAAACATTTGACTTGGTGATTTCTTGTGCTCAATTGATAGAAGAGAAGTAATACTAGTGAAATAGCTAAGAATTTGGTCTAAAATGGGAGTCAAAGTCGGCAAAATCGCAGATTCGTAAATATCGGACACCTCAAAATTCGCGAGAGCATAATTTCGTCAATTTTCCATCAAATTTCGTACTTTTTTGTTTTATTACCTTCAGAAAAAGATTCTCTACCATTTCATGAGAAAAAATATTTTTGTTTTGAAAATTCTTGGGGCCTGGTGCGCACTGAAATTTGGCCTTTGGACCCTGAAAGGGTTAATATATGTAGTGTAAACTTGTTATCTGGCATTTATGTATTTATAAGTGGAAAAAATGGCATTCTGCTTTCTGGCAGTAGCCTGGAACCTAACCTGCTGTATAAGTGGGCCCCAATAAACTTATTCCTCTATAATTTTTACAATCTCTTTTGTCCCCCTTCCCTTTATATAAAGGGACTATACATGCTCTCTGCCAATCCCTAGGTACCTTCCCCTCTTTCATACATTTATTAAACAAAAGTACCAACCACTCCAACACTATATCCCCACCTGCTTTTAACATTTCTGTCATGATCCCATCAGTTCCAGCTGCTTTACCCCCTTTCATTCTACGTAATGCCTCACGTACCTCCCCCACACTTACATTCTGCTCTTCTTCACTCCTAAAGGATGGTATACCTCCCTGGCCAGTGCATGAAATTACCGCCTCCCTTTCTTCCTCAACATTTAAAAGTTCCTCAAAATATTCTCGCCATCTACCTAATACCTCCCTCTCCCCATCTACTAACTCCCCTACTCTGTTTTAACTGACAAATCCATACATTCCCTAGGCTTTCTTAACTTGTTTAACTCCAGAATTTTTTCTTATTTTCATTAAAATTTCTTGACAGTGCCTCCCCCACTCTATCATCTGCTCTCCTTATAACACTTCTGCTCTGTAAAAACCTCTCATAAGCCAACTTTTTCTCTTGTATCACACCCTTTACTTCATCATTCCACCAATCACTCCTCTTTCCTCCTTCCCCCACCCTCCTATAACCACAAACTTCTGCCCCACATTCTAATACTATATTTTTAAAACTCGTCCAACCCTCTTCAACCCCCCCACTACTCATCTTTGCACTAGCCCACCTTTCTGCCAATAGTCGCTTATATCTCACCCGAACTTCCTCCTCCCTTAGTTTATACACGTTCACTTCCCTCCTACTTGTTGTTGCCACCTTCCTCTTGTCCCATCTACCTCTTACTCTAACTGTAGCTACAACTAAATAATGATCCAATATATCAGTTGCCCCTCTATAAACATGTACATCCTGGAGCCTACCCATTAACCTTTTATCCACCAATACATAATCTAACAAACTACTTTCATTATGTGCTACATCATACCTTGTATATTTATTTATCCTCTTTTTCATAAAATATGTATTACTTATTACTAAATCTCTTTCTACACATAGCTCAATTAAAGGCTCCCCATTTATATTTACCCCTGGCTCTCGAAATTTACCTACTACTCCCTCCACAACATTTTTACCCACTTTAGCATTGAAATCCCCAACCACTAGTACTCTCACACTTGGTTCAAAACTCCTCACGCATTCACTCAACATTTCCCAAAATCTCTTTCTCTCCTCTACACTTCTCTCTTCTCCAGGTGCATACACGCTTACTATAACCCACTTTTCACATCCAACCTTTATTTTACTCCACATAATCCTTGAATTAATACATTTATAGTCCCTCTTTTCCTGCTATATCTTATCCTTCAACATTATTGCTACTCCTTCTTTAGCTCTAACTCTATTTGAAACCCCTGACCTAATCCCACTTATTCCTCTCCACTGACTCTCCCACCCCCTTCAGCTTTGTTTCACTTAAAGCCAGGACATCCAGCTTCTTCTCATTCATAACATCCACAATCATCTCTTTCTTATCATTTGCACAACATCCACACACATTCAGACTTCCCACTTTGACAATTTTCTTCTTATTCTCTTTAGTAATCTTTACAGGAAAAGGGGCTGTATAGCCCTTGTGGCTTAGCGCTTCTTTTTGATTATAATAATAATACAGTTAAAGGGGTTACTAGCCCATTGTTCCCGGCATTTTAGTTGACTTTTACAACACGCATGGCTTACGGAGGAAAGATTCTTATTCCACTTCCCCATGGATATAAAAGGAAAAGTAATAAGACCAAGAACTATTAAGATAAAATCAAAGAAAACTCAGATGAGTGTGTATAAATAAAAGTGTACATGTATGTGTAGTGTGACCTAAGTGTAAGTAGAAGTAGCAAGACATACCTGTAATCTTGCATATTTATGAGACAGACAAAAAAAACACCAGCAATCCTACCATCTTGTAAAACAATTACAGGCTTTTGTTTTACATTCACTTGGCAGGACGGTAGTACCTCCCTAGGTGGTTGCTGTCTACCAACCTACTACCTATATGTCTATATTAACGTAAAATAAGACATTTAATGTGCCCAAGTGATTATTACGTATTATTACTATGGCATCAATACCAGAGGGACACAGTGATTTTAATATGTACCTGTGTACCAGCACAGTAAGTTTATTTAGGTACAGGTATACATAAGTATAATTATCAGAGTATGTATTTATAAAATATGCAATAACTTTAAAACACTTGAAATTTTGGAAAGTTTCCTGATATAATGGAGAGACCTGGAGCTCATGGAGAATATAAACAAACTGGGTGGCATGCACTGACCATATTAGAAAGTCAGGTGGGGGGAGTTGTATAGCAAGTTTTGGTCATAATTTGAAATGTCTGTATTAGCAGAATGCTGTCAGGTGAAATACCGTAAAGCGGGGCCTTACTGTATATAACATACCAACCCCTCAACCATCTATCTTCTCTCATACTCACCCTTTACACTCATGCTCTCTTAACCACTCTCCTCTTTCATAACTACCTCTCACTCTCTTATGCTCACTATCTACACCCACTCATGCTTACTGAAGCTACCCTTTTATACCCACCCACCCAGTCTCATTCATTTTCACTTTTCCTTGCTGACACCCTCAGTGTACTGTTATAAATTAGCTAGATATATTCTTTAAATCTGTTCCTCTTGCAACTTCTCAGCCATCTACATTATTTTCACTAGCAGAGCTTTACAGCTCCTCTGAATCAGAATAAACGTTATCGAGTCACTGCTATCAGTTTATTTCATTTGTCTAAATAAGATAGCATGAAAATTACTGTAAATTATGTACAGTGCTATAAAATTACTACACAGTACAGTGTACTAGAGTACTACAGGTTACAATACCCGTATTCTTAGTGTCTGGTTGTCTTCTGCATTAATGGACCAAGTCAGCTAATTCAGAAGACAACCAATCACAAAAAAATAATTTCTTAAGCTGGAAGTACAAGACAATTAGCAATATTGTACACATCCTCCTCCCTAATTAGTCCATTAATGAGAAGGTTCACTGTATTTTTTTTTCTGCACAAATACTGACCTCTTATGAATTTCATGTACTAAGTTCTACACAAGTTTGTATACAATTTCCTTACACGGTTTAGATAAAATGGTGACTATACATTTTATATATTAATTTCATAAGTTCTTACCTATTCTTTTGGTTCTATATAACCTTGCAGGCACTTTTAATAAGCTGTTTCTTGCTAGTTTTCTTCTTTCCACTCAGTGTTATTGTATCGCCTTTGTTCAACTTGACTGGATTACCAAAGATATCTGGAAAAAAAAAAAAAGAGATTTTTTGTAAATTACTAGGATGGTATCTGTGCTGTGAATCCAAAAGATGTTTCATGAAGAACACACTTATGAAAAAACTTATTGTAAACTAGAACAGAGGATATATACCTATTTTATTTTATTTTAGAGGGATGGGAGTGCTTAACCAATATGAATTCATACAGTACTTTGGAAAGTGGAATGCATCAGGCACTCCCCTTGAAAAGGAGAGCAGTATCAAATCAGAACCACTCAATAGAGCAGAAAAAACTGAGGGACTCAAAGATATCAGAAGAGCTCATGTTCAAGTATCAGAGCAGAATTTCTATTGTAAATATAAAGAAATTGATAGGGGTATAACTGGAACCATCAAAACTAAAGATGTAAAGTAAAAGGACACAAGTGCAACTAATGTGACATTTTATTGTGGCAACGTTTCGCTCTCCAGGAGCTTTATCAAGCCATTACAAACAATACATGGACACAGAGGGTATATAAAGGCTCAGAGTGAGGTGCAATACTAGTGAGGTACCATTTAGATGTTCACTAGTAGTAGTAGTAGTAGTGACAATAGTAGTAGTAGTAATATAATATGGTAGAGCAATTAATTCGTACATGAGTAAAAGGATATAAAAGCTATTACTTGGGTAACATAAAAATAGGTTGGACAAATATAGACTGCAAAGAGGCAGCTTGTTTCAGTGTTCACTCTGTAATGTGCTTTGTGTAGTATAACAGGAGAGACTATGTGATGGCAGGGTTTACTTTTTTCAGGAGGATTCTTGCTAAGACTTCAGAGATGGTAAAGCTGCCGTTGTTTTGTTTAATTGTATTCGAAACAGCGATCAGTGCTGATTCGAGGCACTTGCGTCTGCGGAAATTAGTTTCTTTAATCACTAATTGGGCGTCTCTGAATTTCATGAGATGATTGGTAGAATTTCGATGTTGTACACAGGCGTTGTTCAAGTTATCGTTCCTACATGCGTAAATGTGTTCATTGAGGCGGGTGTCGAGGTTTCTTGCTGTTTCACCTACGTAAATCTTGTCACAGCCTCCACAGGGTATAGTGTAAACTCCTGCGTTGACTGGTTCGTGGTGCTTGGATTTGTTCTGGTTTTGATCCTTTATTGAAGTGCTAGAAGCAATGGCGACTCTGGTGTTAGCTTGTGAAAGTACTTTTGAAACGTTCAGTGCAACCTGGCTGTTGGGAAGAATTATAACTTTGTTGGGGTGGTGTTGGTGCGTGAGAATTAATGATCTGAAGAGCTCTTTTCTTGCAGTCTTTGATGAAAAAGGAAGGAAAATGTAGCTCAGTGAATGTTTGGTGAATGTATGTACATTCCTCGTCAAGAAACTCAGGACTATAAGTTCGGTATGCTCTTAGGAAAAACCCGATGATGATGCCTCTTTTGGTCTTGGTATCTTGACTGGAATAGAAGTGTGTGAGATCATTTTTATTGGTGGTTTTCCGATAAACTTGAAATCTTAGGTTGTTGTCTACTTTGTGAATGAGGACGTCGAGGAAAGGTAGCTTGTCATTGGACTCATTCACAAAGTAGACAACAACCTAAGATTTCAAGTTTATCGGAAACCCACCAATAAAAATGATCTCACACACTTCTATTCCAGTCAAGATACCAAGACCAAAAGAGGCATCATCATCGGGTTTTTCCTAAGAGCATACCGAATTTGTAGTCCTGAGTTTCTTGACGAGGAATGTACATACATTCACCAAACATTCACTGAGCTACATTTTCCTTCCTTTTTCATCAAAGACTGCAAGAAAAGAGCTCTTCAGATCATTAATTCTCCACGCACCAACACCACTCCCAGCAAAGTTATAATTCTTCCCAACAGCCAGGTTGCACTGAATGTTTCAAAAGTACTTTCAGAAGCTAACACCAAGTCGCCATCGCTTTTTAGCACTTCAATAAAGGATCTAACCAGAACAAAATCCAAGCACCATGAACCAGTCAACGCAGGAGTTTACACTATACCCTGTGGAGGCTGTGACAAGATTTACGTAGGTGAAACAGCAAGAAACCTCGACACCCGCCTCAATGAACACATTTACGCATGTAGGAACGATAACTTGAACAACGCCTGTGTACAACATCGAAATTCTACCAATCATCTCATGAAATTCAGAGACGCCCAATTAGTGATTAAAGAAACAAATTTTTCCGCAGACACAAGTGCCTCGAATCAGCACTGATCGCTGTTTCGAATACAATTAAACAAAACAACGGCAGCTTCACCATCTCTGAAGTCTTAGCACGAATCCTCCTGAAAACAGTAAACCCTGCCATCACATAGTCTCTCCTGTTATACTACACAAAGCACATTACAGAGTGAACACTGAAACAGGCTGCCTCTTTCCAGTCTATATTTGTCCAACCTATTTTTATGTTACCCAAGTAATAGCTTTTATATCCTTTTACTCATGTACGAATTAATTGCTCTACCATATTGTATTACTACTACTACTTTTGTCACTACTACTACTACTACCACTAGTGAACATCTAAATGGTACCTCACTAGTATTGCACCTCACTCTGAGCCTTTATATACCCTCTGTGTCCATGTATTGTTTGTAATGGCTTGATAAAGCTCCTGGAGAGCGAAACGTTGCCACAATAAAATGTCACATTAGTTGCACTTGTGTCCTTTTACTTTACATATTGTCGGTAATTCTACCAACTTTATTACAAAACTAAAGATGCTAAGCCAGTCACTTGTGCTCTTTGGATCAGAATGTTGCTGCACTCAAACAGTCCCTTTTAAAGAGGTGAAAACCAACTGAAGAATGTACAGAGAACTTTCACTGCTCTTATATATTTAGTCAAGTTGGCTTAGCTGCTAGCTTGACTGAATAAATAAGGACTACTACTAGATATAACTAACCTGAAAGATAAGATTTCAAAAGAAATGATGTATCCCAAAGACTACAGCTGTAAAGATCACTTATGAATAATTATGATATCAAATGCTGCAGAGGGGCCCAACAAAATTAAGTGACATTTTGTGCAGAAAATGAGCGTGATATAGAAACCTGTAATTGTTTTACATGATGGTAGGATTGCTGGTGTTTTCTTTGTCTCAAACACAAGATAAAAGGTACTTCTTACTACTTTCTACTTACACTTAGGTCACACTACACAGGCATGTACATGTATGTGTGTACACACCTATCTGAGTTTTCGTCTATTTTTGAAATAGTTCTTCTTTCTTTTTTCAACGTACCAGCCATATCCCACCGAGGTGGAGTGGCCCAAAAGAAAAAACTAAAGTTTCTCCTTTTAAATTTAGTAATATATACAGGAGAAGGGGTTACTAGCCCTTTGCTCCCGGCATTTTAGTCGTCCCTTACGACACGCATGGCTTACAGAGGAAGAATTCTGTTCCACTTCCCCATGGAGATAAGAGGAAATAAACAAGAACAAGAATTAGAAAGAAAATAGAAGAAAACCCAGAGGGTTGTGTATATATATGCTTGTACATGTATGTGTAGTGTGACCTAAGTGTAAGTAGAAGTAGCAAGACGTACCTGTAATCTTGCATATTTATGAGACAGACAAAAGACACCAGCAATCCTACCATCATGTAAAACAATTACAGGCTTTCGTTTTACACTCACTTGGCAGGACGGTAGTACCTCCCTGGGTGGTTGCTGTCTACCAACCTTCTACCTAGGTTGAAATAGTTCTTGTTCTTATTTATTTCCTTTCATCTCTACAGAAAGTGGAAAAGAATCTTTTAGTTGCCTTGTTAGAGGCAACTAAATGCCGGAAGCAAGAAGCTAGTAATCCCTTCTCCTGGATAAATTATTAAATATAAAAAGATAAAACTTTATACGTAGTTTATTTCTTTTTGGGGTACCCTGCTTCAGTGGGAGACCACCAGTATGTTGGAAAAAAATGTACAGAAGTATTCAGTACCAAATTCAGTGGTCTCAGCTGAGTGTAATTCTCAAACAGAAAACATTACTCTGCTTCAGAAACAACTGTTCAAAATAACATATTCAATTTTAGAAGGAACATAATTGCTAACTACATTCAAGGGGGAAGCACTAAACCCATAAGGGTCATACAGCACCTAGGGGAATGGGAGGCATTCAGGTTCAGACCAAGGAAGGACAGGTTCAATTACTTGGCTCAAGAGCCCCTCCCCAGCTTCAAGGAACCTCCTTTGCAAATGGAAGGAGGGGAGAAAAGGAACGTAAGATTAGAAACAGGATAATAATATTCTTGAGGAGTGGGCAAATAAGGCCCTCCCTTCACTGTCAAAAATATCCACTTTGAAGATGACTAAGAAACATTTCTGCGCTGTATAGCCCTTGTGGCTTAGCGCTTCTCTTTGATTATAAGAAACATTTATGAAGGGAAAAGCACTCTCATATGTGGGCAAGATCTTTGAAACATAGGATTAAATGCACAATATGTTTTTTTTAGAACCCATGATATACATCAAGCTTCCCTCCTCACCAACTAGAGCCAATGGGAAAAAGTAATCTGTGATACATTACAAGATAGAAAACTTGGAAAGAACTCTGCACCAACTTTTGAGGGAGTGGGTTGTACCCTGGAAAGGGAACCCTAGGACCCCTTTGGAAATTAACCACACTATTTGACTGTCTTTGGTTATTGTATTTTGTCTCACTCCCTTAGTGCTTTACAGGCTATACAAAAATTTGATACACCTCACCCCTTAGTCCTCCGTATCCAACTTTGGCCACGCCGCATCTTTACCAAGCATAAAGATATTGTTTATTGTTGGGTCCCTGGTCATGTTGACGTACAGGGCAATGAACAGGCAGACACTGCTGCGCGGTCAGCAGTACATGACCTACCAGTTTCTTATAGAGGTATTCCATTTACGGACTATTTTGCTGCAATATCTTCTCACCTTCACACCCGTTGGCAACAACGTTGGTCTACTATGCTCGGCAACAAACTTCAATCTATTAAACCGAGTATGGGTTTTACTGGCCGTCTTCTT